CATCATACACCATCTGACAATCCTTCCCTGTACAATCACCTTACACTATCATACACCATCTGACACACTTCGACCATCATACACCATCTTTAACATCAGACATCAGATATCGATGCCTGTATTGCATGGACATTACTCGTATCTAAGAATCATTGAGTTCGAATAGTATAAACAACACCGCGGAAAAACGTCTGCGCATGCACCAAATTATGAAAATATGGCGGGAATTTGAATATCAATTTCTAAAACAAAAACATGCTTATTAATTGGTCAAAAATTAGTAAAACAAACGAGAAAATATAGCAAATGGGTAGACTAGACATTAATTGAAAGCGTCCTGGCATTTAAAGTATGGAATGAAATATAATTCATGTAAAAAATTGTTGATTTTAACGGACACGACTTCGAAATTTTTTGCAGAATTATTCAAAACAAAAATTCAAACTAAAAAGTTAAGAAAACTCTCGAAAAGTTAAGCTTCTTAACCCACTCAAATTGTAGAATAAATCCTAAAGTTTAATTATTGCGAACACGCAAATTTTTTATATTTGGCGACACAGTTTTTTTAAAGAAATGTATCTCAAAAGAAAATTCGGAAATTGTCATTGCTTAGTTGATAAACAAAATGTTTCAGACGATAAATTGTCAACAATCACCTTTAGTTCATGTTCTTGCACAATACAATTTCTTGAACCTTCTGGTTGTATTTATTTCTAGTTTTTAGAATGACATGTTTATTTTTGCGCTTGAAATCTGGCTGTAAAGACGCACAATGAAGTCACTCCTTTTTACAGCCATTTTGAGCCTTCGGAAACGTTCGGAACAGCTTCTCAACAAGTTCGCAATACTATTTCAGGTAAGGTTGACGCATGCGCAGACGTTTTTCCGCGGTGTTAGTATAAACTTCATCTTACCATAATTATTTATAATTCAGCGCATGCGCAAATAAATTCTTTCAAGCGTGCATGCTTTACATGCTTGAACCTGACATTTTTGGACGGTTATTTTAAAATTGTTTACTTTTCTGCTGTATTTTGTATCCAGTTCACCAGTTATATAATATTTTGTTTTTGTTAGGGATGTTATGTTTGCTTTTTTTGCCCCGGAGGTAGGGGCTGTAACATGATTTTTGTCGTTAAACTTTCCCCTGTACCCAGGGGCTTTGTTAATACTTTGTTCCATCCTCTTAACAAAAGTCCCTGGGTGGTTCGGGGGTCGACCCCCGGGGAAGCCGATGATAAGTGCATTAGCCCTGGCGGGGCTTTTGAAATTAAGGATTTGGAGGTTTTGCGATCACTGATAACTTGATAATAATATAAAACAAAACACTTCTATCTGCAACTTTTACAATCACTGATAACTTGATAATAATTTAAACCAGTCAAGTTGTAGTTTCAATATCTGAGAATAATACATGGGTGCGCGGAAATACCAGATTTATTTCGAGTGTTGAACATGATATCTCACAAGTGAGCGCAGCGAACGAGTGAGATGTCAGGTTCAACACGAAAAATAAATCTGGTATTTCCAACCACCCATGTATTTTTCTGTTTATGATATAAAGGACAGTCTTTGAAAAGCGATAATTTTTACAGAAAAGCGATAATTGAAAAGCGATAATTTTCACATGTGAGATTATCATGAATAATTTCACATGTGAGATTATCATTTTTATCAGTGCTCGAAATCTCTATAAAACACTATACATTATAATAAAAATTCATAAATTTGAACCACGCTAGAGCATGACAACAGCAAAATGCTTTAGAGTATGATGCACAATATTTTGGGAGGTGAAATACATGAACAATAAATCAGAGAGTGTTTACTTGAAACTCACTGGGGGGCGGGGGCAACACCCCTGATAATTGTTCATGAGGAATTTCAGGTAGATTTCCAGTGCACTTTTAGGTAAATTTAAGTAGATTTGCAGAAGATTTTCAGGGGAATTCAGCTAATTCTCAGGACATGAGAAAGTGAATTTGGAAAACAACTGTATTTTCGGAAAAATTATTATATGTCCTGAATTTTTTTTGTACATCTGGAAAAATTTTGGTAGCCCCCCCCCTCCCTTCCCCCTCTATATAACCTCACACACACCCTCAGACGAAGTGCTCGCAACGGCACTGAGTATACATCTTTTGAAAACGGGCGAGGGGTTATTGCATGCATGTATTTCTAGTATATCTATATTTAGAGCCAGGCTACGCGACTTCTGTAATGCTAAATTACCATCATATAGTCCTCCTGGCTGCATCTAAGTAAATTTAATGTTATATAATATAGTTGTTTGTTTAATCATATACTAGTATTGACAGGGGTAAAGTGTCAATTGAGACGCAAGTCCTGTTCTTTTCTCCAGTCACGTCTATGTTTAGTGTGTTATCTTGTTAGAATGTTGTGTTAGTGTTGCTTGTTTGCTAGTATACATTTTTTTGTATATATCTATATAAAGGTGACGAAATTATTAAATTAAATTAAATATATATATATATATATATATATATATATATATATATATATATATATATATATATATATATATATATATATATAAAGGTTGTCCTTTGCAAACCTTAAGTGGCTGTCTCACTAAGAACCATGCAGAGCGTTTCAGATTGAAAATTAGATTTCGTTTATATTTTTACCATGAACTACCTTTGTCCTAAAAGGTATTAAATTAATACTAGAATTTCTAAATTTTTCTTTTTTTTTGAGTTATGACGAATTTTTGTCTGGACGTCAGCGACACTGAAATTTGACCCCCAAAACGGCGGTCAAATATGTGTTAAATTGTGCATCATAACTCGGGAAGTTTCGCGTCAAATTAAAAAAATTTTTCAGCATATTGAGACATATTCTTCTTCTTTTAGAATGTTGAAAGAATTTGAATGTACATCTTATTTTAAGCCTACTAGTCTCCATCCAAGGAAGTCGCTATTTTCGTTCGCCGAACAACTAATGATTAGGTACAAAATTCAAACTAAAAATTCTCAAAAGTGCAACCTACATGGTGTCTAAAACACTTTTAGGGTTAAAGTAGAATACTTAAAGTTATGTTATTCGCAATAAAACTTGTCGGCAAAAGGAATATGGAAGAGTGCAAAATTCATAAATTATGGCTATAAATAGCTCTATTGTTTACCTTTGTCATAAGGGAAGCCTCACATATCGATTTTGTCCATGAGAAACGTCATATGTTCGTTTCTCTGGAGACACCCCCACCCCCCCTTAGAAACGTCACACATAGTTATCGATATTTTGTTCCTAGCCATAAGGTAATTTTCCACTACTATTTTTTTTCGGTCGGCTAGATGCTTCCGCGAGGAATATGTCATTTTCTGCTGGCATACACTTTTTTATTATAAATATGAACTTCAAAATTTCCAACGTTTCTCAAAACAACTTTTTTTGCATGAAATATCGATAATTTTAGCGCGTTTTTCTTGAAATTTGAGTGTTTGCAATGCAAGGAAGGCGTAATAATATAGATGTATACGTGTAGAACAGGTATGCTATTACGAATGTATAGACTGCAGTTTGTATCAAATTATTTTCTTTTTTACATTCTGCAAAGATAAAAACTATCGAATTTTTCCATGATGTTTACAGAGAAACGTCACAGCTGCCAACCCCCCACCCCCCCCCCCAAACGAACATATGACGTTTCTCGTGGAAAAAATCGATATGTGAGGCTTCCCTAACCGGAAACACGTTCAAGGTTGCTCGCGGAGTTTTTATAGCGACTAATATATTGCACAATCATTGTATTTAACTCAGAAAAGTTTAATTCGATCGATGAAATGCGACGGAGCTTTGAGGTCTAAAACGTCAGAAGAAATAAATTCGTCTAGGACGTTGTATCCCTCATGACTGGACAGGTTCAATGCCAATGTAAAAAATGTGTGTTGCCGTAACGTCGCATCGAATTAATAAATCCATGAACTTGTTATTATATTCTGTTATTCCGCATTGCCCAATTGGCAGAATTTTTGTCCTTTCATGCAAACCATTCAATTCATCGTATAAAACGATCTTTGTTGCATTGACATTGACTAGCTGCGACGTATACTGAGATCTGTGCTTTATCTTTTATCTATATATACAGCAATAATAATAATTTTACAGTAGTTTGCAGCTAATCGCTATTCTGTGAATAACTTTCAACTTCAATTGGTATTTTTCGGCAAAATTTGATTTGTCTCATAATAGTAGTATAAATTATATAGCAATAAAAATACATAACATCGTAGTTTGCATGCGGCGTTTTTAGTACAGGCTCCACAAAGCTCCACACACTCGCGGACCGAGAACAATGACATCTCTCGACATGTCCAAGTTAGTCTGGGAGTATTTGTCCGCACCTGCACAGTTTAGTTATTTATTTGTAAACATATGCATTGCCCAAACATGGATGATATTTTATCTATGAGAGTCTGTTTTTTATCCATTGATTTGAACTGAAGTTCAAAATGCACACAAAAATTTCTTTGAGCATCGTTATTTTAAAAACAGATACCTGATAGGCTCTTCTGTTTGTACATGTCATATAAATCATACATGTCGTAAGGATGGCATACGTCGATCTCAGCAAGCATTTTCCACAAGTTGTCCACAAGCATTTCTCTTTGTGCTTTCGCCTCAAAATGAAGAACACGTAAAGTTACGCATTCTCCTTAATGAAGAACACGTAGACTTACGATAGTTATCTCCAGTTTCCCCTGCGTCATTAAAGTACTAATTACAACACTTGAAGAAATAAAAGTAGCGTAATACTTACGCAGGCCGCAGGGGCGTAGGAACCGGGGGGGGCAGGCCCCCAACCGGGGGGCCAGGCCCCCCAAGTTTTGGCAAGTGCCCTTTTTCCGGGAGCAAAGTGCCCTTTTTTTGCGTGAAAAATTTTGGCATTAAAAGTGCATTTTTTGCCCAATGAGCACTTTTGAAAACTTCAATCTCAGTTATTTTCGGAAAAATGTTTTAATTTGCGGGAAAAATATAATATATGGGGCCAATTTTGGGGTTTTCCAGAAAATTTTTATAGTATTCATGGAAAAAATGGGGAATATCCGGAAAATTTTTAAGGACATGTCCGGAAAATTTTTTTTTACCCCTAAAATGGTACACTGACCGGAATTTTTTTTTGCGACGGGGGAGGGTCGTCCAAAAAAATTTTTAGGTGCCCTTTTTTTTTGAAAAGTGCCCTTCAAGGCCTGCGCCCCCCCCCCCCAACTTTTGGAAGCTTCCTACGCCCCTGTACATACGAGATCCATTTGAATTAATTTCCCATAAAGAGTAAAAACTGTTTTTGATAATGACACATTGAAAACATCTCTTCCTCACACTTACGAACAGGACCCGAATGGAGGGAATACTGGCACGGTCTTAGCGGCCTCCAAAATCGTCCCAAATTATGACGGTGGGACGGACAAATAAACATCATCTTAAATTGGTCTTCGCCTTCGGTAAGATTGAACATTCCCGCGCGAATAGCAATTAACTCGTTCTTTCTCAAGTTCGATTTAGAAAGATGACAGTTTGATAGTTGAACACTCATATCTTCCTTACAATCAAATAAGCAACTAATCTCCTGTAATCCACGACTTTCACCACAAGAAATTCCACCAACGCCAACAAATCGACAACTTTTCTCCATAATCAAAACTAAACTACTAAGCTTCTAGAAATATCTAAAAACGGCACTTCTTTGCGTTAATTTTCTGCTAAACAAAACAGGTGTGGAAGTTACAAAGGAACACTGTCATTGATATTATTTAAGAAGTAAGTTTAAAAAATACTCCAATAATTAGTTTTAACAATGACGCATTGAAGAACAAAAACAGCTTGTATACATTGCGTCTGCTATTATTCTCTGCTATTATTTTCGTGGTTTTTTATTATTATTTTATAAATTAGAGAAACTTAAAAATTGGCTACAAACGTAATCCCCTTGGCATACAGACTACAGCAGCACAATTTACTAACCTCGAAATTTTTTTGACAACTCCCGAACGTTTGATTAAAGATTAAATTTGCGAGATTAAATTGTTTGTTGAAGAATTAACACGGGAAAAATAACTATCCAGGTAGCAAGTTAACTATAAAGTTTAGTATATTGTTGCTTTCGTAATATAGCGTGTATTCTATTTATGGCACACTCATCAGTACATATTAAACAACGATAATATATTGTACATTATGTTGGCGTGCAACTATTTAGTAATTTTAATCAAAGTTTAAAACGATTAATTGTAAAGGCTTTCCGAAAGCTTAAAAAAATTACAAGGGGGTGTTTGTATTCAAATATAAGAACTTATAAACACTATTTTATATTTATAATAATTGCTGATATAAATTTATAAAAGCTCCGCGAGTAACGCTGAACGTGTTTCCCGTTATCAAAAGTAAACAATAGAGCTATTTATAGCCATAATTTATGAATTTTGCACTCCTTCATATTCCTTTTGCCGACAAGTTTTATTGCGAATAACATAACTTTAAGTATTCTACTTTAACCCTAAAAGTGTTTTAGACACCAGGTAGGTTGCACTTTTGAGAATTTTTAGTTTGAATTTTGTACCTAATCATTAGTTGTTCGGCGAACGAAAATACCGACATCCTTGGATGGAGACTAGTAGGCTTAAAATAAAATGTACATTCAAATTCTTTCAACATTCTAAAAGAAGAAGAATATGTCTCAATACGCTGAAAAAAGTTTTTAATTTGACGCGAAACTTTCCGAGTTATGATGCACAATTTAACACACATTTGACCGCCGTTTCGGGGTCAAATTTCAGTGTCGCTGACATCCAGACAAAAATTCGTCATAACTCAAAAAAAAAGAAAAATTTAGAAATTCTAATATTAGTTTAATACCTTTTAGGACAAAGGTAGTTCATGGTAAAAATATAAAGGAAATCTAATTTTCAACCTGAAACGCTCTGCATGGTTCTTAGTGAGACAGCCACTTAAACTCTAAAACCTTAAACTCTAAGCGCGCAAAGCGTAATGGGAGCTCTATTTAAGCAGTTTAGAAAGCATACATGGAGCCCATTTCTTAGAGACATGGTAAATATGTGCCTGCGAAAACATTTCACTCACAAGCAGCTGGGACAGAAATTGAGGTGACCAAAACAAGTTAGGCATCGCTCTATATTCTTTACGTGAATTTCTTGGTCTTTTAGTCATTCATACGCGTTGGTATACAGTATAAATCCAAAAGTAGTACTGTAGTACGTCATTGCGCTTGTGGAGCACTTGTTTTACGCATGCTCACCGCACTGTCGTATATCTGGTTAACGATTGGCACTCCAACAGAGCCAATTGCAATTAATGTTGAGAGATTTGAGGCATGTGTTTGACTTGGTTGGCAATGAAATGCCAGCACTAGACGAGAAGTCTCGGTCAGTTGCGAAATCTTGTTCTACCATGCACTAATTCATTTTGGGCTATTGTTTACCAGAGGAACTTTTGCTGCAGAAAAAACAGATTTATATTTATATTTATTAAACTTCGCCAGTTACATCTATCACACTATATTTACATTTTACATTTACAAAATGCAGGGAGTCGCTCATGCTACTGATAAAAACACGACTAAACATCATCAAGGTTCCTTTTAGACAAAATGCATGGTATTTAAAAAATGTTTTTAAAACGAGGAAGTCACTTTAATCTGTCAATAAAACGGACAGATAACAAAAAAATCATTTGCATTTAAGGTCTTCCTATAACGACTTAAGAGATCAGACTTTTAATTGTCATGGCTTAACGACTCCTGATGAAAGTCGCTATAGTATACTAGTCATTGAATGTGATATGTTTTGGTGCATCAATCAATCAATCAATCAATCAATCACATCTTATTAAATTTAAACATAACAAATAAAATACAGTAGGCCTACTACACGCAAAATAGCAAAGCTAATCGAGGCGTGTAGTTATAAATCAACATCCTGCATTCCTGCATCAACAAATCAACATCCTGCATTCCATGCAAGATGTATTCAAGGACGTATTACATAGGACGTATACAATATATAGGACGTATTTAGAACTACAATATTAAACAGAATAATATACTTTTCACAAACAAGGTATGTTTTATATCACATTAGCGGCTTTTGCTCTGCTTTGAATAAAAAATAACTAAGTCTAATAGGCCTAATATATTTCTAATTACTTTCGAATAAATAATAAATAACATACAGTTTTAACCACTTTTTTGGTTGTTTTAACCAAGGGCTCCAATTTGTTTTTACAGTGTATTTCTACTCATTTCTCTAATATTTGAGGCATATCGCCGATATCTGACTCTTAAAATGTCAGGAAATATATAGTCTTATCATCATGAAAGAGAACCTAATTTCAGAAAATTTCAATCTTATACTGCAGCTTAGAAGTACACGTATGCATATACAATTACTTTGTATGGTTTCCGTGTTTGGATGGCCTGATCCAAACACGCGGGAATGTTTCGAGAGTTAAGAAAAGCGCGCTTTTCTTAACTCGTGTTAAAAATAATATTTTACTCACTCGCTCGCTGCGCTTGTTAGTAAATTTTGTTTTCACCACTCGAAGATATATCTTCGCGCCGCCGTGTAATATCCTCTATTTATTAATTTTGCATTTTCCCATTGGCATTGATTCGTAACGTGCATTTTTTTTTACGTTTTCTAATTTTTTCGAAAATCGAAAATTAAAAAAAAAAGTTTAAAACCTACCCTATCTAAGTTTTTATAAGAAGAAACCGGAAACCCACATATTTTTTTTTGGCCTTATCGCCGACCGTAACGAGTACCGGGTTATTCATACATAGGAAAATGGGTCGAAATTTTGAGATGGCAGCCTAGATTTATAAGTCTGTTTCTGCTTTATATGTGTTATACTATAATTTACACTGGGGTAAAATGTGCTTAAAATTAGAGAATGGTATTTTATTGTATATATATATATATATTACTTCGTTTGTGTCTTATTGTGTTGCCATCGTATTTTTGCTTGTCCTACAAAGAGAAAACAAATAATTAATAATAATTCCATCAACTTAGTGTGAATTACACAACCTCAAAAAACACCATACACTTTTGTTTAAGAGTGTTCGGAGAATCCACTTTGTTTTGGAAATTGGCCCAAATTCCAATTGGAACTAATTTCAACAGGAATTTAAATTTAATCCACTAAAAGTCAGACAGAAAAAATAATTCCAATTGGAAATTGGCCCAAATTCCAATTGGAATTACAACTCTAATTGGAATTCCAATAGGATTTTGTGTGTTCAACATTCCATTTAGGCAAAATGAAAAACCTACAAAGACATTTAATACATGGACAAACTTAGAACTGTTTTTGATGTGGATAGGCCGAGAAACGTGGAAAACAATTTGTTCTAAATGTTGTTCTTGTATCATAAATTGTTGCAGTTCATACTTCACAGATGTGAATGTTTTATTATGAATGTTTCAGGGATGGATCCAGCATGATCAGGTACATGTAGGGGGGGGGGTGCTAGCTCTAGCTGCCAGCTCTGGTGCAGAGTTGTGTCAGTCACATGCACCTCCATGCACCCATCAATAAACTACGCTTGACTACTGTACTTGAACTATAATTGTTGTTCACAGTTCGCTTATATATCATCATGTTAATTATTAACTCAATTAAGTTACTGTATCTAATTTTGTCTTTAATATTTTTTTGCTTTATCATGAAAAATAGCAATCCCCTGCACACACCCCCAGTAAATCCATCCCTGTGTTTTGTAATGTATTTGTTGTTTTTAATCCTGTATGTATGTATTTATAAATACAGTCTGCAGAACTTTATTTGGCACTATAACAGTCCTGTTGTCACCATCAATGAAATAATTGATTGTAAAGGTAATAAATATATAAATAAAATAAATAAAAACTGAGAAACAGTTCATTCTGGCTGACACGGCACATAATGGAGTTATAATTATAGTTATTTACTCAAGCACTATTACAGTACCATACAGCAAAATGAGCAAATATAGAATTCTATTACCATAAATCAATGATAGGCATCCACAAGAGGGGACATTCAATAATTACATCATAATCAGGGGAAGGGAGGGGGAGGGGATTACCTAATTGGATGACAGTCGGAAATATACTAGAGCAATTAGCAAGAAAAGTTACCATGGAATCTGGGGTTAACATTAGAATTTTAGACACAGAATTAGAAATACTTATGGATTATATTAAACATGCAAGATTGCAAAATTGGGTTCTTGTTGCACGACATATAGTAATATACCAATTCCTGTTAATTGGCTGATGTGATATAATTATACATGCTTGTCCAGGGCCTGTTCCGACTGATATCTCATTGGGGGTGAAAAACAAATTTTTCTGCCCCTTTAACATGTAATTAAGTTTTGGGTCGCCTAACGTGATATACTGAGGCCTTATGCCCCCAACCTGACAGCCCATGAAGGCCTGGGCCCTAATTTGATCTGCGTGGGACACAACTCCATTAAAATTTTATATTAATTTTGTAGTCTCTTCTTCCAGGTTGGGGTGGTGTGGAAGGACCCTAATAAATATAGGATTGCTATAATGGCCTTAGACGTGAGGGAAAATTTTAACCTGCCTCCGAGAAAGTACTTATGCTTTCATCATGAAGTTAAAGATCTTCTTTGCTCAACAAGGCCCACTTTGTGACTTTTCATGGCACAGCCCTGTATTTTTCTGTAACAAATACCCATGATAATACATGTATATTTAATAACACTGGCCATGATAATTATATTATAGATATTTTGAAACCTGAATCTGCATGTCATAATGGGTTTTCCATCCCTTAAAAAGAATTCATACAGGTTTGGGGAATAGTCTGAAATTCCCATAGCCTGCATGGTCATACATAGCCTTTCCTATAAGAATTCCCATATACATTTTTGTAAGGGAGAGTAGATCCACAATCTGTTATGTGAGAAAACTTCTGCTATCCAGAGGGGGATTGAGGGCAGGAATCTACTTCTGATAATAGTAAAATGTACTAGGACGTTCAAATCATAGAGATTATAAATAACACTAGAGGACTGGCATCGAGGTTAAAAATTGGGAACGCAGCTAATGGGGGGCAAATTCAAGTCCCGGATACAAAATCACACTCTCAGTGGCTGATTTGAAACTCATCACCAACGGGAACGTGAATACACATCCGGGACTTGAATTTGCCCCCAATAGCCATGTTCCCTTTTTTTTTAACTGAATTAAGACATTAAGATTACAATGCCTCCTCTAGTGTTATTTATAATCTCTATGGTTCAAATGAGGTAGAGGGTTAACTTTCAATTTATTCTTTAATAATGACCCAACCATTAATTGGCAAATGCTATCCTTAACACAAAATATTTAAACAGGGCATCCTGCCACATTATTTTCTCAAAATGATACTGTACATTTATACTATAAATATAAGTTGTATTAAACTTGTAAGGGGTCAAATGCCCTAGCTGCCATAATATCAAATTTTATTACATGAAATGCCCACATCTTTGGTTAAAAAACAATGGGTAATGCCCAATCCTACCTGGGAATGGCGAATGTTAGCTAAGTACTGTACACGTTCAAATTGAACGCCATCTGTTTCGGGAACAAATATTACTTTATATGAGATACATACTAAATGGTTCTAAATATAATGCATTTTCTGCATCAAATTGGCGAAATTTCGTGTACACAATTAAATAGGAAAATTTTAAACCGGAAAATACATTCAAACTCTGCACACATAACACAGAAGTCTATTATTATAAAGAAACACAGAACATCGAATTTAATATGATGATGATTAATTACATGCATGTACTGTTTATAAATACCTCTGGGTATATTAAAGCGCTCCCATTGTCACACGATATTACAACAAGGAAAATCACGACGAGATCCAACAACCTGCCATTTATAAGCATCTTTAAGACGCGATACGCAATACGACAAAACTAAAGTTTGTTTCAGCGCATGAATCCAACAAACTTCCTGCTTCGAATCTGCTGTGGATCTGCCCAAATTTGAATATTTGTCTTATCTGCCAAATGTTGACATTAATTGACACAATGACGATGACGTCACGATGTTTTCCAGTGAATTGTCAGGCGTAAAAAAATAGGTACGTAAGCGTACTGGAATTTTCTCCTGAAAATGTAATATATAGCTACAGTGAAATTCACAACTTCATATGACAATTGACAACATCATACCGTGACTACAGTGGATGTTTAAGCCTGGTTCAACTAACAATTCTGTCGGCGATTTTTCTGCTCTTGGCAAATGTGATCAAATGAATGCAAAAGACTTAGAATTGTTTACTTCTAAAAAGCGACTCTATCATTGATCTGAAATAAGACTGGATGACAAAGCATCCTATTGAATTCAGTAATCCGATTTTGAAGCCAGAATATTTTAATGAGATGAAATTTATAAATCAGTCAAATTCATGACCAGTCTAATCTTCTATCTTCGTCTATGTGACTTGTGAAATATAGCTTCCAAAACCTCTTCGCAGTAGTTTTAGAATGTCCAGTCTTATTACAGATCAGTGGACTCTATACTTTTGTGTGCGAGTTCACTCACTATGCATCCGTCCGAAACACAAAATGGCCGACAAAATAGCTAGTGTGAACCAGGCTTAAAGACAAGTATAAGACACACCTAAAACGATGAAAGAATTAGGGGGTGTTTATGTGAAAGCCTGCATGGCCTTTTATACCTGTAAGAATTCGTCAATGGAGAGGGGGGTCTACAGAAAGGGACCATACGACTGAGTATGGAGCTCGAGAGTCGATTGATAGTTGTTGGTGAAAAAAGTCGTATGTAATACCACAGTGGTAATACTAGGGGTCTCGGGGAGAAATATTTTCCCCCCAAAATTTTTTTGTATTTTTCCACCCCAAGACTACATTTCGTGTGTTTTCTGAAACAGATTTTTGGATATACAGCATTGCATTATGCTGTAGACAGGCAGAATTTTCAGTTAAATATACGTGTATATATATATATATATATATATATATATATATATATATATATATATATATATATATATATATATATAGCATATATATAGAGAGCATATATATAGAGAGCATATATAGCATATATATAGAGAGCATATATATAGAGAGCATATATATATATAA